GATGGAAGGAGACTTGACTTGGAGTGATGGACACACAATCAACATACAGAGGATATATTATAGAATTGTACACATGAAATCTATGTAATTTTTGATAATATAGTTTTATTGATTTCAGAGAAGAAGGGGAGGGGAGAGAGAGAGATAGAAACATCAATGATGAGAGAGAACCATTGATCAGCTGCCTCCTGCACGCCCCCTCCTGGGGATGAGCCCACAACCTGGGCATGTGGCCTTGTCCAGAATCAAACCCAGGACCCTCCAGTCCACAGGCCAACGCTCTATCCACTGAGCCAAACCAGCTAGGGCATAACCTATATAATTTTATTAACCAATATCACCTCAGTAAAATAAATTAAAAGTAATTTTTAAAAAGAAATACAATTCAGAAAGGAAGAATTAATACTATCCCAATTTGCATTTATAAAAAATTCCAAGGAATCTACAAAAACTTCTAGTGAGTTAGCAAAAGTTGCAGAATACAGGATAAAAATGGAAAAGTCTACTCTTTCCTACATGCTGACAATGAATATGAAGACAGCAAAATTAAAGATATCATGCCAAAAAAAGATATAATATCATTTATAATTGTTCAAAAAAATGAAGTAGAAGTTAATCTAACAAAACATGTACAAGATTTGTATTCTAAAAACTACACAATGCTGATGAAAGAAATCAGAGAAGATTTGAAAATGGAGAAACATGATGTTCATGAATTGAAAGAGTCAACATAGCAAACACTAATTCTCCTACTCAAATTTAAGTACAGGTTTAATGCAATTCCTACCAAAATCCCAGCAAGATTTCTTTTTTATAGTTATAAGTAAGTTTATTCTAAAATTTATAAGGAGCAACAAAGGAACTAGAATAGTTGAAATAATGTTGGGGAGATAAAATAAGATGGAAGGAATCACTCTACCCAATATTAAGACCACAGTAATAGAGACAGTGTGGTGTTGGCAGGACATATATCCATGGGACAGAACAGGGATCCCAGAAATAGACCCACACAAACATGCCCAATGACTTGGACATTTGGACATCCATAGGCCCCAAAATGAACCTTGACCTAAATCTTAGTCTTTATGCAAAAAATAATAACAAAAGAATCACAGACTCAAATGTAAAACTATAAAAAACACACAACAGAAAATCTTTTAAGATGTAGAACTAAACAAAGAGTTTCTTATAAAACAAAATATGACAGTAATTCCACTCTTGGATGTTTCTTCCAGAGAATAAATACTCACATTCACACAAAAACCCATACGCCGATGTTTACAGCAGCTTAGTTTGTTATAGCCCAACATTGGAAATAACCCAGAGGCCCTTCAGGAGTGAACGGTTAAACAACGGTTAGTCCATCCACACTATGAAATGCTATTCGGCACCAAGAAGTAAAGTACTGATACACTACCTCATGGACAAATCTCCAGAGAATTCTGCTGAGTGAAAAATGACTCCATTTATATAATATTCTTGAAATGACAAAATTTAGATACGGAGAACAGATCAGTGGTTGCCAGGGGTTAAGAAAGGGGTGGAAATGGGAGAGAAGTGGGTGTGGCCACTGAGGGGCAACATGAGGGGTCCTAGAGGTGATGCACGCTCTGCGTTTGACTGTAACAGGGGCAATATCCCAGGGGCCACCCGTCCTACCGTTTTGCAAGTGACTGCCATTCGGAGACACTTGGTAAAGGGCGCACAGATCTGTCTGTGTCGTTTCTTACAACTGCATGTGAATCTACAATTATCTCCAACCACAAGTTTAATTTTAAAACCAAAAAGTAGGTCAGACTCTGAGTGTAGAACAGGTTATTATCATCAACCATAATTGTGTAATTTCACTCCATTTTCTGTCTAGGTCTTTATTTGGCTTCCTGTGAAAATGAGAGCCCAGAGAACCACACAGAAAAAGAGAGATGGAAATCTCTAAGGTGAGTCCGTGTGCCTGGAGGAGATGGGGGGTGGGGGAGGGGTGGAAATCTCCAAGGTGAGTGTGTGTGTCTAGATCAGTGGTTCTCAACCTTCCTAACGCCGCGACCCTTTAATACAGTTCCTCCTGTTGTGGTGACCCCCAACCATAAATTATTTTTCATTGCTACTTCATAACTGTAATTTTGCTACTGTTATGAATCGGAATGTAAATATCTGATATGCAGGATGTATTTTCCATGTTACAAATTGAACATAAATTAAAGTATAGTGATTAATCACAAAAACATTATGTAATTATATATGTGTTTTCCTATGGTCTTAGGCGACCCCTGTGAAAGGGTCGTTCGACCCCCAAAGGGGTCGCAACCCATAGGTTGGCAACCCACAGGTGGAGAACCGCTGGTAAGGTGAGTGATGAGATGGGGGGTGGGGGAGGGGGAGTCTGTGTGCCAAGACAGGATGCAGGAGAGGAGTGGGGTGCTTGGGGCCAGAACTGGGCTGAGGAACCTCATCAGACCCAGCTCATTCGCCTCCTAGGAGTGTCCCCAGCCCATGAGGAGAGGGCTGGTCTGGCCAGAATCTTGGGGTGGGGGTGGACCTCAAGGACTGCCTACAAGGGGAGGCTGGGACCACAGCCCCTGTGGCTGGTGGCTGCACCTGTGGGCAATGAAGACGTATGTCCCGTCCTTGGAAGCCCTAGTCCACATTCTTATGCCAGAACGTGAGACACACACCTGCTCGCTCAGTCCGTGAGCACAGAGTGGAGCAGAGAGGATCCACAGTGGGGCCTGAGCCAAGGACATTGCACGATGCCCTTCTGGGGTGGGGGCCGCCTGTTGAGAAGGTCACACCTGGAGGGAAAGAAAAATAACCACCGGCCGCCGGGCTGCTTAAATCTATAGGTCTTCTATTTTGGAGAAGACGTGAGGCTCAGGGAGCTGGAGGAGGAGGAGGAGGAGGAGGAGGAGGAGGAGGAGGAGGAGGAGGAGGAGAGACCGCAGACGCCCTCTGCAGCCCTGCCCAGGCTGGCCCGGGGCCAGGGGAGGCCTGGCTGCCTCACCGCTTTGCACACGGTGACCCCATGGTCTGGTACCCGCCACAGTGACCACAAGGCTCCGGAGACTCTTCCCCTTCTGTGGACCCTCAGCCCTGGGAGGGCCCAGGACCTCCAGCCACACGGGTGGCACGTGCCTCAGGGCGGCGGCGGTTACCTTGCTGGGCGGTCTGTCTGTCCTCGGGGAGAACCCAGCTCACTAGTGTCTCAAGCCCTGGAGGTTCTGCCACCAGGTGCCTGGGAGCCTTCAGAGCCCCAGCAGGCTGTGAGGGGCCAGAGCCCACAGGGCCCTGCCGTAAAGCAGAAGGCCCTACCCTGCCTGAGATGGGCTGGTTTCTGCAGCCCCATGGGCCCCCTTTCTGGATCTTTCTGGCCCCAGGGGTTAGCTTTCTAGTGATAGCTGGATGCCCGTCAGCAGGACAAATGCGAGTCAGAGATGACAACGTGTACAGCACATTGTAAACTATAACGTTGGTGTAAACACATCGGTATACCGTGCGTAGCCAGGCCCACATCGGTCTCTCACCGTGGGCTTCTGCCGGGACGCAGGCCTGGGAACGGCGTGGCCTTGGGGCGGAGGGGGTGTGGTAGCCATTTCCACGCCATAGACCCCAAACCATGCTGACAGGACCTGGGCCATAGTACGTGCTTGAAAGACCTCGGTGGACAGATTCTGACAGTCCTGCGAGGACCTGTGGTTCCAGCCTCCTCTTCTAGGCAGTCCTCGGGGCCCACCCCACCCCAAGAGATGCCTCTCTTGCTGGGGGTGGGCAGCAGGGGGGCTTACGAAGCAGGGGAAGGCCCTCAGCCCACCACAAGGTCCCCCCGTGGGCCCCCACTCAGCCCTTACCCTGAGCCAGGAAGCAGGTACGCTGTGGAGCCGCTAAGCCCTCACCTGGCATGTGACCAGGTCCCCCAGCCAGGAAGTCAGGGGTGTGATGTGCACCCCTATTCCTGGTCAGGATCTGCTGGGCAGAGTGGTGTGCTGAGGGTGCACTGACACAGCCTGCTGGCTCCTGTCCACACCAGCTATCCCAGGACCCTGCAAGGTACCAGAGGGCCCAGCCGCCTGGCAGAGGTAGGCAAAGCGGCACACAAGGGTCAAGCTGAAAAAGAAAATGGGGGGCTTACACCCTAGTTCAGTGTCTGGTTAAAACTGCAGTCTTACCTCCCCCTCTGACTGACTTGGGCGGAGCTGCAGAGCCTAACCCCAGGGCCCCGCCACCGCTGACTTGAACTGCAGGGACCCTCAGGGGCCGCCACAGGAGCAGATACATAAGCCAGAGCCTCCCCATAGTTCAGTTCAGGCTTTGGATCCGGAATCCCCTGGACTAGCAGATCTGCGAAATAAAGGTTAAGCTCTCCTCCCTCAGAGCTGGCTGGTGGTTCTCCGTGCATTCTGCCACGGCATTGGGTGCATTGGCCGAGAAAGGTCAGTTGAGTTGGCTGTTAGGCCACTGCTGACAAGAGCGGACTTCGGGGCACTCGCTTCCGGCTCTGGGACCCAAGGAAGGCGCCTCCGGCACATTCGCCTCCGGTTCCTGATTCACGGGGCCGGGGCCGGAGGGACTGCGGCGACTCTGCACTCAGGTGGACCCAAAAGAGGCAGGAACCTTTCTGGGACTTCCCGGAGGGAAGCCAGAATCAGACGTCTGAAACTGAAGTTTCCCCCGGGAAACGGGTCCGAGTTCTGGCCTGTCTTATGGGACAGAAGGGGTAGCTGGCCCCTCCCTAGGTACCTGTTGACCTCAGGAGAGCTCGGATCCCCTAGTGCAGTGGTCGGCAAACTCATTAGTCAACGGAGCCAAATATCAACAGTACAACGATTGAAATTTCTGTTGAGAGCCAAAGTTTTTAAACTTAAACTCTATAGGTAGGTACACTGTTATTAACTTAATTAGGGTACTCCTAAGGCTTAGGAAGAGCCACACTCAAGGGGCCAAAGAGCCGCATGTGGCTCACGAGCCGCAGTTTGCCAACCACGGCTCTGGAGGAACGGCTTCTGGACGGTATTCACCGTCTCTGGGTCTTTCCGGGAGGGAAGTCAAAGCTCAGACTGGCTAAGGGTCTGAGTCTGGCCGCCTTTGAAAAAGGCAGAAGAGAAGGAAAGGAAAAGGCACCCATTAACTGAGGTCCTGACCAGGAAAAAGCCTTCACGACCATGAAGGCAAAGCTCACTGAGGCGCCGGCCCTAGGGCTCCCAGATGTGACGCGGGACTTTCCAACGGGGTAGCCCTAGGAGTTCTGACTCAGCAGTTGGGACCTTGGCCGAAGCCAGTAGCCTACCTCTCCAATCAGGTTGACCTGGTTGCCTCCGGGTGGCCCCCATGCCTCAGGGCCCTGGCAGCCACGGCCTTATTCGTCAAAAAGGCAGACAAGCTCACTCTGGGACAGAACTTAAATGTCAAAGTGCCTCATGCTGTTGTCACCCTATGGAAGCTAAGGGGCAGCACTGGCTGACTCATGCTCGGATGGCTCAATACCAAGGGCTCCTATGTGAAAATCCACGAATGAGATTAGAGGCAGTAAGAACTCTTAATCCTGCCACTTTCCTGCCATCGCAGAGGGAGCCCCTGAGCACGATTGTCTGGAAGTCCTAGAGCAGGTGTACTCCAGCCGGCCGATCTAACAGACAGGCCTCTACAGAACCCGGACTTAGTATTGTTCATGGATGGCAGTAGCTTCCTAGATGAAGGAAAAGATGAGCCGGGTATGCAGTGGTATCAGACTTTGAGATAATAGAGACACAGGCCCTGCCTGAAGGATGGTCAGCACAGAGGGCAGAACTTTGGGCCCTAGTCAGAGCCTTAAAACTCCATAAGGATAAGTGCACTAACATCTACACTGACTCGCGCTATGCCTTCACTCCCTCGTATCCATGGGGCCATATACAAGGAAAGGGGGCTCCTGACAGCCGGAGGAAAAGGAATCAAAAATCAGAATGAGATCTTGAGTTACTAGAAGCAGTCTGGGAGCCCAAGGAAGTAGCAGTCATCCATTGTAGAGGACACAAAAAGGAAAAGACTCGGTGTCAGAAGGGAACCGTCATGCAGATGCAGCGGCAAGGCTAGCTGCTAAGGAGCAGGCAGTGCCATTGAGGATTATGCTGGTTCCTGAATTACCTGAACCTCCGAAATACACCCCTCAAGAAGAAGAATGGGCCCAATGAGAAGGGGGTAAAAGGACGAAGGAAGGTTGGTAGATACTTCCAGGTCATAGGGTCTATGTTCCAGAACAGTTAGCTCATAGAGTAGTCCTGCAGCACAAATTTATCCATTTAGGGAAAACGGTTCTAAAAGCCTAGTTAAGAAGATACTATCTAATTGCCCATCTCCCCTTCTTTTGCGCCTCAGTCTCTCAGCGCTGCCTCCTCTGTGCACAGAACAATGCAAGGCAGGGTCCTGCAGGACCGATAGGAATTCAGCACTGTGGGCAGGCTCCCTTTGAAGATCTAGAGGTAGACTTTACAGAAATAGGGCCTAGTAGAGGAAATAAATATCTTTTAGTTTTTATCTGCATCTTTTCAGGCTGGGTTGAGGCATATCCTACCCATATGGAGAAGGCGAGAGAAGTCACTAAGGCATTACTGAAGGACATAATTCCACGGTATGGAATGCCATTAACCATAGGGTCAGATAATGACCCAGCCTTTATGGCTGAGGCAGTACAGCAGGTAGCTGAGGCCTTAGGAATTAAGTGGAACTTACATACAGCCTACAGGCCCCAGAATTCAGGGAAAGTAGAACTCATGAACTGGACTCTCAAGCAGGCTATGGCTAAGCTAAGCCAGGAGACCAACTTACCCTGGACAGATATCTTACCACTTGTGCTCCTGTGGGAGGGCTGTGCCCGAGAGCCAGGGTAGGGTTCTCTCCATTTGAAATTCTATATGGCAGACCCCCTCCCTTAATGTGGCCAAAGGGAGATTTGGGGAAAATAGGGAACTTAG